TGTGCGAGGCGCCCGTCCTCTTCTCCCCCGCCCCGAACGGGCGCGGGGGGACCTGGAGCCCCCCTGAACTGGGGGGGAAAGAGGAGGAGGAGGAGGAGGTTCTTCAGCGAGGGGGAGCGATGCCGCTCTGGGGCTGGTGCACGATCTGGGAGAAGAGGTCGTGGCCGTGGCCGCGGCCGCAGCTGCTGGAGTTAAATCCACTCGGTGTTTAACGGAGGCATTTGCAGAGATGAGGTGCCTTCAGCGTTGGGTGGTGGCTGAGGTGTTGGCAGGTTTGGACTGAAAGCATTAAATTCCACTTAAGCGGAATCGTTTGTGGGCCTAAAAATTAATTCCAGGGTATTCTGCGTAGCAGCAGCATTTTTTGAACATCTCCTGTGTCGGCTTTCCCATCAGGCTTTAAAGTTTTGCCTTTTTCAGATTTTTCTTTATTTCATGTGTTTAGAGTCATAGAGCAGCCCAAGTGGGAAGGGACCTCGAGAGATCATCTGGTTCAGCCTTTGGTGGCAAAGGGAGCCTCGATGGGGTTATTTAGCACCCTGTCCAGTCGCATCTCGAAGCCTCCAGCAGTGGAGACTTCACCACATCACTGGGGAGAGTTGTTCCGCTGAATGATTGTTTTTGCTGTAAAAAAAGTTGTTTTAATGATGACCTTCTGCGTCAGTGTCTGTCTTCATTTTTACAGAGATCGAAAATTATATAAACTAGGATTAAAAGGATTTTATGTGAAAGATGACAATGACAGTACAGGTAAGGTAATAAAATGTACTGTGTGATATGATGTGCTGTCATACCTAAAGTTATGTGTGGTTATTTAAGGTACAGTAGGACTGTGTAACTGCTAACTCATTTCGTGCTTATTTCTGGCTTGGTTTTCAGTATTTTTTTTATGGGGATGGACGTGAATAAGAATTTAGCACTTGCATAGCTTTCAAGTTACCGTAATCTTGGTGTGGAAGTTTGTGTCAAACCAGGTGTGACGCCTGTTCCTGTCAGGACAGATTTACCAGCTCACAGAATCTCCATCTGCTACATAGACCTAGCTCACAGGTCCCTGACCTGCTCTAAAATCGTAATTTCAACTAACTTAATTATATAGCAGAGGGTCTGCAGAGCCTAGATGTTTGCCTGGGGGCAATACTGTCCGGCTACCTCTACCCCAGCCTAGGACATTAACTGTTGCTGATTAATCTGCTGCGCCAGAAGTAGAGAAGAAGCAGTGACCTTGATGGGGGCAATTACTGTTTGCATGTGCACGAGAAATCTTATGAGAAGGACCAGAGGAGTAAATCTCTCCCTACTTCCTCATATTTTAGGAATAATCATGGTGCATGCTCTGGCAAATTCAACACCACCCTTTCTCCATTGTCCCAAATTCCCCACATATGCCTATCTGAAGATAATTCCTTTGGTATCTCATTTTTCCATTGCTGTCTTGCTACCTCCTGCATCATATAATTACTTGATTTGAAAGGAAGAATTCTGAACAGAAAGGAATGCCCATAGAAGCTGGGAATTAATAGCACAGGTTAGATGGAGGCAATGTGAGTGGAGTGAAGAAGGAGAATGTAAACAATATTTTTGTGTGTATATGACTGAATTGTGATGAGAGTCATCAGTTAAAAACAGAAGAGTCTTGTGCTGTGTGATAATTTGGCAGTAAATACAACCTGAAAAAAACAATTTTTTTTTTTTTTTAGCAACTACTCAAGAGCTTTTGTGTTTCATAAATTTAATCAATATACTGTTCCTCCTTTCTCAGTGGTATTTGTCATTTTATAGATGTATGATTTTGCTTAAAAATTTGATAGATGTGGAAGAAGTGATTCAATAGTTGATGAGTTATTTCTGAGATAATTAGGTTCAGTAGTTCACACATTACGTTTTTGTAAAATTGTAGTATCTTTGTTAGTGTGATTTTGAAAGATTTGTAACAAAACTGCCAGTTTTCTTTTATTTTAAGTTTGCTGTGGTACCTGCCAAAAAGAACTCCTGTAAAGAATTTTCTTTTAATAATACTGATTTCTCTGTTGTTTGCTGAGCATTATTGTAGTTATTACTGTAAGTAATTATCTGCACAGTAAATTATCTGCAAGTTATTGAGGTGAATGTTTGTGATAGGTTGACCTCAAGCACCCACACCTTCTACCCCAGCTCTCATTGCTGCACATCACATTATATAGTTCAGACTATCCTTCAGCCAGTTTGGGTCAGCAGTCCCAGCTCTGTGCCCTCCTGCTGTCTTGCCCACCCCAGCCTACTCGCTGGAGAGGGCAGAGTTGGGAAAGGAGAAAGTTATGATGCTGTGCAAGCATTGCTCCACAACAACCAAAACACTGGTGTGCTGTCCACACTGTTCTAGCCACAGGTCCCAAACACAGCACCATAGAGGCTGCTATGAAGAAAGCTAACTCTGTCTCAGCCAGACCCAGTGCAGTGCTTTGGCTATTGAAGTTTGATTTTGGTTCCTACTGATAGTTATGCAGACATTGGTGTATTTATGAGGAAAATTTTAAATGGGAAAGGAAGCTTAAGAAGCAGTTCTGCTGATTTTTGTAGGCCATGCTGATGCATTATCAGAACCAGATTATATTCACTTAATATAATTTGTTAATAGGAGAGGAACAAGCATCTGAGGAGGAGAACCATTGTCCCAATGCGACATTAAAGGTGAATACTAATCATGCTCTCAACCTGGAAGAAGTTGAACTGGACTCGGAGGCCGAGCTTATGAAGAGTATGGGATTGCCTCTTCAGTTTGGTGGGCAGTCTGCCCACAGGGACTTTGTGGTAAATATTTCCTTTATTTGTTCTGTTTACTTTGTGTTTCCAAACGTAGGGGCATGTCTGCTCTTCTGTTATTTTTGAGATTACAGTTCATGGAAATGTATCTGAGCTGGCTTTAAGCTGCCTGCCTCAGGTACTTCTGGCAACATACAGCACTGTGATCTGTGCAGTTTGTAAAATCCACTTGCCAATTGACTAAGCAGGATCAGGCTGTGCTTTGTGCTTCTATATATATATATAAATATTGCTCTTGCTCCTAGAGAGAGTTAGTTTAAAACAGCCATGGCAACATTGATCCTCTGCATCAGGACAACTAGTACACCCTAGTCTGAGCACTTGTGTTCACACCATCTGCTTTAACCATTTAGCTTTAGATACTAGTATAAAAAGCTAAATTTCTCAGATCCCCCTTGCAGCTGATAAGGCCAGGCTGTTGGCAAATAGTTTGAAAGAGAAAATAAGGTATGTTTTTACTTGATTACTGCTAAGCATTGTAATTTGCACTGTGTGTATTAACATGACATTATGAGAGACGTGGATGAAAGATTAATGCCAGTTTTCTGAACCCAGCTTCTTTATAGTCCACCATAGGCATCTGTCAGTGCAGCAAAACTAGGGACTGCAGCTGATGAGACATTTGGAGTAATATCTGTATGTTTGCAGTCTTTTGCCCTTGTGAGTTATAGTCCCTCATCACCTCCACCTTTTTACCTGCCAAACTAAGTCTGTCAGTTTATGGAAAAAAATGGCAGATTTATCTGATAGAACGACTTGTTTTTCTTGGATATTTTAATTTTGTTTATATCTGTAAGCACAGGAAACCCCAATGAAACAAGTGGAGTTTGATTTGGTGAAACCAACAAGTTACCTTAGTGGTTCCTTTCAGTGACAGGTTTCTGTCTTCTGTTCCACTAGACAACTGTAGTAGTCTGAGTTTGTTCTAACAAGTGAAAGGGATCTATTGCACAAATGAAAGGGCCACCAGTTTGGGGAGGAGGCTCTTTCCTTGTGTTTCTGTTAGCCAACTTGTAGATCAGTATGGGATTGGAGGAGCATTACACCCCTCTTTTGGATCAGTGCCTTCAGGCGTCCTTAGCCAGGCATACAGAGATTCAGCTGCAGGATTTATCGAACTTTTAAGCATAAAGTGATGCTTTTTTGTTTAAAGCACTTGAATATAGTAAGGATTTAACAATCTATTAGGCTAAATACTGCTTATTCACTATCCTAATACGGCACCTGAAGAGTGTTTGCTGGCCAGGCAGATATCAGGTGATGGTAGAGGTCGGCTTCCGCAGTCCCCCAAAACAGGTCTGTGGTGTTTCTGAAATACTGTTGTACTGCTGAGCTCAATCCAGTGGCTCCCTCAATTCCTGACTGACCTCCCATTAGGATTTTATAGTGTTACATGTTGATGTCTTTCCTCTTGAATCTTTGAGCTACTAATGACTTCCCTCTCAGCAGTCACTTCTGTCTGCAATTGCCTTTCTTTTGTCCCATTTTTCTACACATTTTTTTTTACAGTTTTTTCTCACAACTTCCTCAGCAGGGCCCTATCAGACCCATAAACCCCACAGCCTTTTGTGGAGAGAAAGCTAACAATGGGGTTGCAGTGAGAGGGAGGATTACAACAGAAACAGAAATGTGCTTGGAGAGAGGACAAGAAATAACTGCTTATACGTTGTGGACTTCTAAGTATGTTTTTCTATTGTATTTTAGGCAACAGAAAATTACAGAAAGAGGAGCAACATTAAGATTATGAAAAAGAAAAAGAAGAAGAAAAAAGAGTTACAGGAAAAACATGAGGATAAAATAGGGTTAATGCCAGGATCGAGCTTGTGGTGGTCATACTCAGTCTGTTTCTGGTGGGCTGGCCCTAGCTACAGAGCAGTGGGAGAACAGCAGCAAACCTCAGTTTGTAACTGAAGGGAACTGTGAGAGTTCAGAAAGTCTTGCAAATGAGGCTCCATCCAGTGAACTTAAAGAAAAATGGGAGAAGTACTGGAGCGAGTATGGAGAGGGCCTTCTTTGGCAAAGCTGGCTGGAGAAGCATCAGGAGGTCTCATTGTCTGAAGCCACAACAGCCTCGGAACCTTGGAGTAATCCAGACACCAGGGAAGAGTGGGATCAGCATTACAGTGAATTGTACTGGTATTACTGGGAACAGTTTCAGTACTGGACAAATCAGGGATGGACTACTGAGAGTTCACACGGTGACAACATGGAAGCTAATGGTGTTATCCAGGAGATGGGTCTTTCGGGCAAAATGGATGTAGTTAGCCCAGGGGCTGAACACAGTGAAGTGCTGAGCTTGGAGCTGTCTCCCTCTGACACCAGAAGTGAGGAAACACTCCCTTCAAGTGCTGAGCTCCACAGTGAAATAACCTCTGGGATTTGTAATTTAAATCTGAATTTGGAGGGAGTAGAGCAGAACAGCGCAGCTCTAACAGTAGTCCAACAAGGTCCTCAAGAGCATAGATCATCTGACAGTGAAAGCCAGGAGGAGCCCTGTGATGGAGGAACCATGAAAAGGAGTGCATCTCGTGAAAATAAAAGTATTAACCACACAGGTAATACAAAATCAACTGAAATAGAATTTCTCTAGGTGGTTATATATAAGAAGCAAGGGCATATCTGCATTATGCCATTTTTAAAAAGTTGATCAAGTATTTTGTGGAATGATTGCATACTTGATTCTTTTTTTTCCCTCTGCTTCTCTGGACTAGATGTCTTTCAGAGGTCCTTTCCAGCAGTATGAATTAGGCAGTGAGCGCAGTCATCTTTACAACTGCAAATTCATACATTCCCAGCTAGTGCTAACAAGTGAAACTGCCAGGTAATGTAGTAGTATGGTGAAAGCCAGTGGCTGTGCCTTACACTACTGGAAGAGCTTCCATGAGGGAGGTACAGGACTGGTCTGGAGATGTTTTTGCCAGCCAGTTCAGTGTGCAGAGAAGGGAGAGAGCCATCTTGTTTGCCTGCCTGTTCTTCCTTGCTAGTGTTGGCTGTAAGCAGCAGTGTAACATATTTCCTGACTGTTGCATGATTTCTCCTAACAAAGAGGAGGGATGAAGCACATGAGTTAAGTGTCAGCAGCTCGGGACTTTAGCTTGGTGGGAAACCTCTTAGTCCACTGCTGTTGACTTTCTGAGGAAGGAAGAAGCAGGTGTGGTCCTGTCTTGATCCTATAGTGGAGTTGGAACGGGAGAGGTGAAAGGAAACTCTCCTTTCCAGCAAGAAATGAGAGGAGTGTTGGAATCCTCTCTTATTAAATGTGTGTGAATATCTTTGTATAGCTAATGAAATGGAAACAAAATTTACGATCAAGGAAGAAACTCTTGAATTTTTAGCTTGTAGGCATTTTATTCTTCTTGGAGAGCTGAGATAATTTGAAGTTGGTCCTGTTTAAGATTATTAACTCTACAATGTAACTAATACTGGAAGCTTGTATTGGTATGTTGTCCATCAAACAAGAATAGATAAAGATATGTGTGTTTGGCACTTGTGCCTTATTTGTCCGATTCAGGCATGTAAGACAACCTTACTGTAGCTGCAGACATTACTCTGGGGACAAGAAGATAAGGAATTAATTTATGCAGAAAGAAAATATTATCTCATCTATTTTTTTAGGTTCACAAGAGTCATGTAGATCAAATTCAAATGGCAAAGAACAGTTGCTGCTTCATGACCAAGATGAAGACGAGGATGAAGAGCCTCCTGAGTACAGACATGCCAAAGTCAAAAGAAGGCAAGTCATGAAATTCAGATGAGCTTTTTTTCTCAAGAAGCCCAAGTCTAGAAACCTCCTGATTTATAGTAACTATTTGTTTGATTGAGATTCTGAGTTAAAACTTTAGTACAAAACCATGTAGTCTTCCACCACTGCATATCGCTTTACCTGTCAACAAGCAGTGGGTATTTCTTCTCTTCCATTGCTTTATGAAAACAATTTATGGCCTCGATGACTGTACAAGGTGACAGTATTATTCTTGTGCCACTGAAGGTTGTTAATTGGATAGGACAACTTGCTTATCTAAGTCTAATTAGTGTAGACAATACGAGAACAGTAGTAAATAATTTGTATTGTATAACTGAATTGTATGCTGCCAGTGAAGTACTCAGTGCTATGGTGATCATAAAATAGCTAATCTCTGCCTTGACACAGTCTTTTTCTTTCTTCTCTAAAAATTTACAGCCTCAAATATGATGAGGTGGCTCCTCCTCTTAATAAATTTACAAACTCAAAGGTGAAGGGATGGATGGAATTACCTGCTAATGACGTAGCTTTAGTTTTGTTCTAATATTTTGCTGTTGCCTTAGCATTAATAATAGATAATAATACAGATAACTTAATAGATGATGAAGATAATTTGGAAATAGGGTGAACAAACACTGTCTTCATCAGTTCCGTGTAGGTCTTAATATTAAAATATTCTAAGAGGTCATTTGGAATAGTTGGAATATAATAACCCCAAGAGAAGAACGCACATGCTTGGAATTGGGTTAAAAAAAAAAAAAGGTATGCGCTCATGCGTATGAATGGGCTGGTGTTATCGGCCTTGCTTGGTGTCAGCAGTGGGTGGAAGAACTTACTGAAGTCCACATTTAAATGTTTTCAATACATGTATTTCTTAGTGGTATATCTGTAAAATACGTGGATTTTTCCAGTAAGTAACTTTGTCATCTGTGTTTTTTCCTAGCCATGAATTGGATGTGGATGAGAACCCAGTGGAAGACCCTGAGGAAACCTGCTCTATTTTGGGTTTCAAGTGTGGCACAGGACAAAAGTAATTGCTTATGAGGAACTCAGGGTTTCTTCATAGCAAGTCAGCTCTCTTGTTATTATTCAAATAGGCCATTGATCTCTATTCCCATTTTGTTAAATTTTTGAAGATGATTCCCAAAGTTAGTCTCTGCTCTTAATAAAACTGTCGTGCTTTGGCTAGAGAGAGAGAGATGCAGAGTTACAGAGACTAATTAAAGAACAAGAAAAGTGCCTTGAGACAGAAGCAAATTCATAAGGTACTTCCAGTTGTGTAAATGCTAAATGGCTGGTCACCTACTTAAATTAGGGATGTTTAAAGGCTCTGACAGTGGTTGGTCCTCTCAGTTTGGAATTCTGTGAGCTTAGATCATAATTTATAGCTGTTTCATATTGGAATGTGGTTGCTTTATACTAGTAAAGTATTGCTATACTAGTAAAGTATTGCCAGGGTATTGCCCAGTGAAGTTTCTTTTTTGCTGGAATGACCTAAGGATGTGGTGGTCAGTGCTGTAGAAGTAACATCAGGGCACAGGTGGACCGTAGCTTAGGTCTAGCACTTCTGCAAGATGCAAGTTGTTTGGTACGCATATATGTGCATATATGTGTCAAAGAAGAATGTGTTTTGTAGTTGATAGTCTCTGTTCTACTTTATAAATTAAGTGAATTGCCCATATTTTTATTTTTTTTTCTCTTTTTTTTTAAATTGTGTTTTCCAGGAAACAAAAGTAGCTGTTTTGGAGGTTCTTTACAGCCACCTAAAACATGTTTTATTCTACTAATCAAGCTATTTTTTCATTTCCTATTCTTCAGGCTGGTCTGGGAAATTGTTTCCACTTATACGCCTATTAGGAAAAAAAAATAAAATCTAAAACCAATTTGGGTCAACATTTTAAAATAAAAATATTTAAAAGTTTTCATGAAGGTACATTGTTTAGCAGCTGCATCCAGTGACTTGTATTTTAAGAGTGGAGCAAATGTCTCGTAAAGAAATAATTTAACCTAAACCATCTTCTGTAGACATCAGCATTCATGTTAAAGCTTCCAGATTGGAAATAACAAAGTCCATTTTTTTTTTTTTATTTTCCTTTCCTTTCCCCCCCCTCCCTTTTTTTTATTAATTGCAGGTATGGTGGAATTCCAGATTTCACCCACCGAACTGTGCAATACTTGGAGAAAAAGGCAAAACTCAAGTCCAAATTCTTGGATATGCGTAAACCAAGGAAGAGCAAAAATACACACATCTTCTTTACAGAGGAATTTGAAATGTCTTGCAAAAAAAATAAAACTTTGAAGAAGGTAGGTTTAATGGTTAGTGTTGCTGTAATTCATAGATGTGTCTGCTCCCTTAGCTGTTGTTCAATTATGAAAAATAAAAAAAAAATAATTTGCCCAGAGTAGGTGGCATTTTTTAATTGTCAGTCCACTGTTCTTTTTTTAATTTTTTTTCCCCTGCTTAGGTGAAGAGTAGTTAGGGTGGGGTGGGTGTGGAAAGGCATTGGTGGGCTTTTGGCAATCTGTCAAGAGGAATGTGAGCTTAATGGCGAAGTTGAAAGTCATTCCTAACGTCTGGGTGCATCTTTCCTTTAGAGGCGTGTGTGTGTAGGTTTCTGTAATTACTAAAAGTATCTTTGTTTTTAAAATGCATGTGAGGGCATTTGTTAGTGCTTGCATTTCAGCAGTGAGAGGAAAAATGTTTGCATAGTTTAGTGTATTTTATGCAACTCCGTATTCTTATTAATTTGTGTCAACATTTTTGCTTATACCTCTACCTGCATTTATTTTCACCTATAACTTTATGCTTAATATTTTTTTTTTTTTTGTAATTCAGAAACTAGTAATGAGGAGAAAAACTTGTTCACCGTAGATTTGTTAGTTGAGTCTCTTTAAAATCTTCTACTTCAGATTTTAAATGCTACTTTGCTGCCTTCTGAGATGCTTGGCATTCCTTTACACTCAAGTGCAAAACGCTGTTTTCTGGTAGTGACAGCACGTGTTGTGTTGAACTCCAGTCCCATTTTTATAATTTTTAATCAGAGGCTTGACCATTGCCATCTTGTACCTGAAGCCAGTATAGTTGGAGAGCAACTTTAATTATGTGTAGGAAAAAAAAAAAGTTATAAATTTCCTCATACTTTCTGGTAAGGACATGACCCAGACTTAGTGCCACTCAGAGCAACTCTAATGTAAAGGGAGCATCTGTGTATGCCTGTGAAGAGGTTGGACCACCATCTGCACACTGGTTAGGGTGTAACGCTGAGATTTCTGCTGTGCAGCAGAACCCTTGAGCGCTTGCACCATTTGGTACATCTACAAGCTGATACAACTAATGCATGAAGTCAATTTTACCTGTTCATCCAGTCCTGGAAGGCAGAGTGCAGCTTCTTTAATTACAAAGTAATAGTCTTTGTCCGTCTGACTATTTGTTTCAGATATTACTTGAGAATGATTTACTGTATTTATCAGTTAATTTTGTGGAGTTTCTCTTTTGCAGGTAGCTGGTATCTAGTTCCCAAAGACAACTTGTTTTTGAGGTGTTGTAAAAAAGGAGCAGAGTTAAGGACTTGTGTATCCTCCTGAATGTTTTGACTATGGATATTTTACTTTTTTCAAAATACATGTGGTTGAGAGTGTATGCATGGCGGGAGCTTTTGAACTCTAATGCTTTTAAACTAGCCTTACAGTTCAAAAGTCAGCTGGTTAACAGTCTAATAATCCATGATATCTGACAATTGCAGGTGGAAGCATTCCTAAAGCAGGTTAATAAGGCTGAGGAGGAAGCCACATCCCAGACAGCCTCCCCTCAAGGTAAAGCAGAGGCATCATCTGCAAGCAGCGACTCGGAGGATCAGGGAAGCATTGCTGCCACACAGACTGTGACACTGAATGCTGAAAACCAAAAGCCATCGTCTTCCAGCACAGCTGTTTGTGAGCCTGGAAGGAGTAACCTTGAGGAGGAAGCGCAGGATGCGGCAGCGAGCAGCTCAGATCGCCAGGGCGTGGGGAGGCAGGAGCCTGACTGCGGGCGGCAGCTCGTCCCTCTGGATATTCCCGATTATCTCCGGGCAGAGGCAGAGGATGTCAGCCAAGGTACATCCGTTTCCTACAGACTGGAAATGGATTGGCAGTGGGCTCAATACTGCTTTTCTGAATTACAGTGTTGTGTGGTATTTATTTATTTATTCTGTTTATTCAAAGAGACTCATTAGGTCCAAGGAGTAATGAGGCTGATTGAGAGCTGTGCTAGTGGAAGTAGCTTGTTCCTGGAGCGCCAGAATCCCAGGTCTTGTCTTTGACATTGGCAGTATTTCTTTATAGATAAACAATTGTTGATGCTAGATGTGATCTAATGGATCTCCAATTCACACCCTTTTCCGCCTGTAAGGATGAGGGTGATTGACTTTAGGTAAATGGTCAGGTTTTGGGTTCTCAGATGCACAGATGCATGTTGCTGAGCTTTGGGGAGCATATGTTGTTAAATTTATTTTCTAGGGAAAAATTAATCTGTATTATGAACTTTTCAGTTTAACATTGTAAATAAAGAAAAACAGGATTATTCAGGTTTCTACATATAGTTTAATCCTTCCTACAGTAATTCAGTTATGTTAGATTTCTAGTGTAAAACTCTTGTCTAAATTGGTTCTTATTTCGATAAGGGCATTAAATTGATCTCTGATCCACTTGTTTGCTCACTATGTAGGGCTTGTTGCCATCAGTTGAAGGTGGAAGCATGTTAAGTCTCTTAAATAATGAGTGAAGTGTTTTGATTTTTAGGACTGTGACTGATACCTGTCAGGTAACACTATTCCCTTGAAATATAGGATGCTCTTTTTTAATTTAAACCACTAATCTGCATAATCTGGCAAACAGTAATAAAGGACATTTAGTGGTGGTGTTAAACTTGAGCATTTTATAGGTTAACTCTACTGATTACACTCCTAGCCTACAAGAACAGTAATTCTTAACTTTTTCAGTGTCTTCCAGTTTTAGATGAAAAAACTACTGCAAAGAAGAAGGAGAAAAAAAGGAGGAGAAGAAATAAAATTGCACTGGGAGCTATACCTGCCGAGATTGCTGCTGATCCAGAGCTGGCCAAGTACTGGGCACAGCGCTACCGGCTGTTCTCTCGGTTTGACGAGGGAATTAAACTGGACAGAGGTGTGTTTAGGACAAAGTGCACTGACTTGGTGGTGTAAGATATATCCAAACTGAAGCCCTTCTTGCAGCCTAATACTT